TACCCAGGCCTTTGTCTTGTTGAAGAAGCTCACTCTGCTGATCGCGGCTTGAGCCCTCTGCCCGGGGTCTGTGGAAGGGCTGCGCACCCGTGTGGAAACCGTGCGCTTGATCTCCAAGGTTGCACGGGAGGGTTTTATGCAGCGTCAGCTTCCTTATTCCACTTCCTGTTGCAGGTTTTTTGTGGTTTGAAATAGCATTCGTTTCTTATGTGGTGCTTAAATTCTTTTTTCAGAAAGGCAAATTGTGTTTCTAAAAAAGCATTCATATGAAATTTGGAGAGGAAAAGTGATGAGGTAAATTTCTATTAAGCAGTGGTGACACATGACAAAAAATATCAGACTTGACTAGTCTTCCTGTTAATTTAGTTTAAATGTCATGTGTGTTTTTAGTCAGTCATGTCATTTTCCCATTGCCCCAAACTGCCCTCGGAGGCCTACAGGATATAGGAATGCGTGTAAAATGAATGGCGGCAATTATTATTCAAATGAGGAGCTACGAGCCCGAGTGCACACAGCTCAGCCTGGAAGCTTGTTACCTTGTGAGATTTAATTGCATTGTATGTTTGTGAAGATTTCTAAATTCTAACATAAGACGATAGTAAAGCTCCCTTGGAGGAGAAGAATGGTTCTTAAAGATTCTAATTGCTGAACTTAGTGAGCCACTGATGCCGTTTCTTCACAATAGCGGGCATTTATTAACGTTTCTTTTTGGTTCTGGGTTGTGCCCTAAGGAGCTTTTCTGCCACATCAGTATTTGTGAGCATCGGTGGAAAATAGCTTCACCTGCCTCTGCTAGAGAACTATCCTCTTAAAAGACGTGGAATTGACTGCTGTTTAGAGCGGAGGGTCCAGGGTACACATGCCTTTGCATGAAGGAAAATAAAGATCAATTTGAGACTTAAACCTCTTCCAATTTTTTGATCCGCTTGCCAGGTTTTTGCTTTTGGATTTTTGGGTTTTCTCGGCGGGGGGAGGGCAGAAGGGGTCACCTAGATAGACGGTGCTGGATTATGAAGAACCTGTGAGTTAACAGTCATGTTTAGTCTTTCATAGACCCTTTTCCTTCTAAAATGTAGCTGATTTAATACATCATAGGTCTATTTCAGAAACTTTTAAGCTCTGCCTGTGACCTTGGAGAAGTCAGATGTCCCAAAACTGTTCCCATTTTCCTCCCTGCTCGTGCTCGTTTATCAGAGGCACTGCCCGCTGTTTTGTCTCTCAGAGCACTTTCCAGATCCTACCTTGTAGTGACTCATCCATTTTCCCCTCTCCCGCCCCGTTCCAGCCTCCCACCCTCTAGAGCCTGGAGTGTAGCTGACAAACTCCGTCAGGGCAGAGGTTAGCACCTTCTTGATCTTGGTCCCCCTGAAACCCCCTGTGCTGCTTTGCCCCTGGTGGCTTTGTGTGGAATTGAGGATTTGACTTGGTGCAGAGGGATTTCCGTTAGAGGTTGGAGAAGGAGTGAAGCGGATCCAGGGCAGGCAGGGCTGCTGGGCTTTGACAAGTCCTCAGAGAAGGCCCCAGAGCCAGCCCGGGCTGGTTATTTCCATTCTACCTGATTATAATATTATAAGCTTTGTTATTCTGCTTATAATATTATATTCGTTATTATATTCTTTGTTATTCCCAGTCAGAAGGCCTGGGTTCTGCACGTAACCCCATTACTTCGAGACGTGTGGCCTTGGGCAAGATACATGCCTTCTCTGAGCCTCTGTCTCCTCAATTCTCAATAGAGGGATGCCCACCTTGACCATCTCCCATGGACGTGGTGAGATCCAGATGACCAAATGTCCAGGAAAGAATGAACCTACGATAATGCCCAATTCTTCCAGTGTTATCCAGGACCCACACTCATACAATTTTCTAATAACTGGATCTCTTACTCCATTTAGTGGCAGACTTAAATGTTTTGCCCCATCAAAAAGTATATTAAACGTCATAAGGTTGTTCTTGATCATAAAAATCCTCTCGGTCTATCAGTTGTTCTTTACATTATAAGAGCGACGCCCTCAGGATTTATTGAGCAGCACATGGAACCTTGCCTCAGCACTAAATAACCCCAGCATATTCAGTTTTGAGTACATATGTCTTTTTTTTAATAGTCTTTAAAAACAGTTTTTTAAAGTATAAGAAAGTTATACTTTTGCTTTTGTTTGAGGGAGGGTGGTTAATGCCTCCCCTCAGTCCTCACGTGTGCCTGTCTTCCATTGCTGCTTCTGGTCAGCAGTGGGTTGGGAAGCAGAATAACGAAGCTTACAATAACTCAGGTACAATGGGAATAACCAGCCCCGGGTTGGCTCCGGGGCCTTCTCTGAGGGCTCATGACGCCCTCCTCAACCTGGGACATCACTTGTCTGTTTGCTGGTCATCTGCTGGTCTCTAGATCATTGACCTTGTGAGATAAGTTGGTGTGCTTGCATGGGGCCTAAGTATCCTGTGAATATGACGTAACAAAGTCTTAGAACTAATTAGAATTAACTTGCAGATTATAGGTGTCTTTGTCATTTTTCAGGGGGAATAAAATTGAGGTACACAGACCCCTGGGTGACCTTCATGGCCGATACTCTCTGAAGTAAACGTTAGCACTAAATTCAGAAGGGCTCTTTCCGATTACTTCTATCAAAACTTCTATCTTTAGAAGACCCAGAGGAGACCCTCGGAGTCAAGCATAAAGGATTTGAAAGTCTCACGGCAAGCACCCCCTTTTGAAACCGGAGCCTCTTTCTGTTCAGCTCATAGCCGTGGCAAAGAGAGACTCAGGTTTCACTCAGGGTGTCTCCGTTACTCTCCTGGGAGAGAGGAGAACCAGTGGGCTCCCTAATCACAGCAGACTGGGTCCTTCTCTGATGCTGGGCAGTGCCCAGATCCTGGGGGAGCGGCTCCGGGGCCTCCTGCTCGCGCCCACCCGCCTTGGCTCTCTCAGTCACTCTCAGGGCCAGTTGCTTTGCTTGAAAACATGGCCCTGTTTCTCTGTAAAAGTGGTGAGAACAGCCCATCACTGTACCTATTAGTTGCCACTGGCTGAGACCCTCACAAGCGCCAGCAAGCTCTACACAACTTGACATTTTATCTCCCTAACGCCACTGAGAGGTAGGTGGTCGTATAGACATCATAAAATGCGTGCCATGTTCCTAGCAGAGCACTGCCTGACCCCCTGCGGCATTTCCTGAGGATGTGAGCTCTGAGCAGCAGGGGTCCTTGTCACTGCAGCTCACTGCTGTAGCCCAGGGCCTGGGACGGTACCTGGCACATAGCAATGCTCCATAAATGTTTGTTGAATGAATCATAAATATTCATTGTTAGAGATCCCCTTTTTACAGGTGAGCAAACTAAAGCTCAGAGAGGTTTGGTAGTTGAGCCAATTCACAGCAGGAAGTGAGTGGCTGAGCCAGGTCAGGTCCTGGGCCCACTGGCTCCTGGGCAGGTCTGTGCTCCTAACCGCCTACTGCCCGCCCGAGAGGAAGGCAGGGTTCTGGTGGGAAGGAGTCGATGCCTGGAAGTGCCCCTGAGTGGGGGAGCTCTTGGGAGAGCTGTGTGTGGGCTGGCTCACTGGGGAGATGGCCTTGCCCCTGGGAGTGGAGCTGGGGTGCCACAGTGCTCGAAGCCCACCCTGACTCTGGGACAACAGCAGGACCTGGCCCTTCTCCTCTGCCAGGCTCTTCAGTGGTTTGTCAGCTGTGACACCTGAGAGCACAGCTTCCCCCTCTGCTGTCATTTAACCCTCTCCTTGACTGCATGGCCCTGGCTCTTTAGCAGGTGCCCTGTCTCCCTTGACAGACTTCTGCTCTGGCTCCATAGATTATGCTGATTTTTAGTCCATATGATCTAAAGGAATATGATTTTGGAAAGTAACTTCAAGTAATCAAAACGAACGTGGTAGAGAAATCACACACACTTTGGGAGAGTGGTAAATTGCAGGCGTGTACAATTTTAGCACATAAGAATCTCTGCGGGTTCCTCTCCTTTGCATCAATTTGCACGGATAAGACATTATGTGATTTCTTTCCTCCATTGTCTAAATAACTAATGAGGTTTGCTGCTTTTCCAAATTTAATTTGGAAGTGGTTTTTTATCTGTCACCTACATTTAAACTTCTAGGCAATATTTTGTAATGATGTCCAAAGAGACCCATGGCAGCACGAATTACAAATTTAGCAACTTTGTATTTCTGTATAGGCTTCTGTATAAATAGATGCCATGTGATCAAACTAGAATTGTAGTGAGAAGAAATACCATCTCTCCCTTCTGCCCCGTGGTGAGATCATAAAAATTTAAGTTATAGAAGAATATACCGGGCCATAAAGAAAACCTTTTCAGCCCTTCAACCAAAGTAATATCCCAATTCTAATTGAGTGTTTGCTTAAATAAAACTCAGGTTCTTTTCTACTTCAGTCAAGGTTATTCTATTTTTAAGAGTTCAGGAAAATGCTTCCCAAGGATCTTTTATCCTTTGTGTTTGTATTGATTTCTGCTGGTTTATAGAATCATAGGGGTCTTGGGAGGTAACTATCAGATACTGCCTCAGACAGGACTGTATTCAAGTCATCCTCAAAAAACAGCGTACTGTATTCTAGGATCTCTCAACAGATGAAAGCATCTTTGGGGCGTTATTACGATGGATCTTTTACTTGCGAAGGCTTTCCTAATATCTAATATGGCATCATTCTTTTCTTCTTGTTCAGAGAAATAAAAGGAGCTGAGAGTTCAAAACATCTCTTCTTCTGAGTTTACTAAGAGGGTTTGGCTATGTAGTTTTCCCCTTGGGTTGAATACATATTGACATTGATATTAGTGTTTATGACACCGGGTGTCAAAAATGATCACCCACTCTCCCTTCAGAGCTTTAGAGAAATGGGAGAGAGAACAGGGAACAAAAGAGGTTCTGACCCACTCCTAGGCTGTTGGGCTGCTGACAGATGGTTCTGGTACCTTGTAGATGGATTTGCTTCCTTAAGGCTGTGGAAACTATTTTGAACTTATTTTTAATTGTTTATTTTTAGGTGCATTTTGACCAATTTAAAGAAGCGTTAATACTTATCTTGTCTAGAACTCTATCAAATGAAGAACACTTTCAGGAACCAGGTAAGGGCACCAACTTTTCTTCTCTGTGTTCTCCTTTGAAAGCTGTCCCAGGAGGAATGTGGGGACCTTGAAGCATGTCTGTGGAAGATTTGGGGCGTCTGTTTTTCACAGACTGAGCAGCTATTTGCAGTGACTTGTCTTTTGATATTATCATAGAGCCTTGCAGCTGTTGAGCACTAAAATGAGATTTCCCTACCCCACAGTGGTTGTGGAAGGAATAATTGGATGGTTCCTGGGCGATATGTCAGATGGTATGGACATGGTTCCTGGAATGAGCAGAGTGAAGTTGAGTGTTCCCTCCTTCATCCCTGTTTCCCATGTGCATGGATGGATGTGCATTGGGGGAATTTTGCCAGAAAGAAGAAGGATGGGCAATCTGGAGATACTTGTATTTAGTCCTGGTGCGTGGTTGACCCTCTGCTATACACCTTATCTCATTATATTATAATTGTTTACCTATCTCCCCCTCGAGTGACGGTTCCTTGAGGACCAGGCTGTTTGTTTTCATATTTCTGGTGCCAAGTACAATGCTTAGCACATAGTGAATATTCCGTGAATGTTGTGAAATAAAAGACTTAATATTATGCTTCATTGATTTTTTTAAAGGCACCATAGATAATAAGATACATCATTATTTCATATATCTCTAAAAAGAAAAATTGTTGCCACTTATAATGGTAAAGTGCCATTGATTGTTGGACACGTTCTAATCTCAGAGTGTTCAGATCTCAGTGTGTGTGTGTGTGTGTGTGTCTGAGAAACAGTGAAATGTGGTAAATATTTAAGAGGAAGTCTGAACAGTCTGAAGCCCGTCTTACACTATAGTCCAGTTCTATCAGAGCAGTGGGACTAGGGTTAGGGTCTGATTGCAAACAGGCATGACGGAATTTTTGAGGTGACGAAACCATTTTCTATCTTGATGGTAGTTACAGATTTCAAGAGTTTTTCCAACCCATAGTATTGTGCACTAAAAGGGAAAAATTTACTCTATGTAAATTATGCCTCAATAACCTGACTTTAAAAAAGTGAACATCAAAAATATAGTCCGGTTTTGAGACTGAGGAGAAATTATTAACACTGGTCGCTACAAGGGATCCTTCAGTGTGACCTGTGTAGAGAAAGCACAGATGGGAACTCACTTCTTACCCTCACTGCCGAGCCAGTTCTTCATCGAACCTTCTGTGATGCTCCAGATTCGTGTCACACATGTTAACACTGCATTTAGCAGGGTTTTGGATCCTGGATTGAGTCTCTCCCTTTTACTAATGGTGGCCACCCCTGGGAAGGTCATGTCACCTTTGAGGCCTCTGAGCTCTCCAGAAGCCCCTGTGAGCCAGGAGGGAGGTGTTGTGTTCTCAAGACTTTCTGGACTAATAACAGAATTTCTGCAGGTGACTGCTGCTAGAACATGGACTTTTGTTCTTATGGGGTCTCACATTTTATTGATATTTTTACTTTTTTAAGGTTGTTGTCTTGATAACAATAGTGCAGGATCTAGGGACCCTGAATCGAGCTATGGCGACATCACCATGTTTTAGTTAACATGAGCATCGGTAACACGAGCGTAAGTTCAGTGTTCTGTATGCTGATAATGTGCTTTTCTGCGGGTTTGGGATGGAGTGTTGCCACTGGTCCATGTGATCCTTTTTCTGCCCTTTCTTCAGAACCTATACTGTTGCCTGCCAGAAAATTTTCTTAATAAATATGCAGGTTTATGGTGACCACAAATGTGAAGGCTGCCCCTAGAGTTGTGCATTGTTGGGGCCTAAATAATGGGATGAGGTAGGCAATGGCCAGCCAAGCTTGGTAACAGGTAGGAAGTGACATTTGTGAATCCGGCCCCGATAGTGGTTTCAGGGTTATGTGTGCCTCGCCACTGTGCAGGCAGAGACCGGAATTCCGGCAGGCCATCCAGGACAGCACACAGAAGGGATTTGTATGGTTTCGCTGTGTGCTCCCTCCTTTGGGTAGGCTGCCGCAGACCGTTGTTAAGGGCTGCCCCAAACCAGTGTAATGAAGCAGGAAAGGACTTACTGATGGCATCTCATCCAGAGTTTACGGGACTCCCTGGCGTTTGTCCTTGCGGGGTGAGATCTGGGATGGAGCCTGCGCCTTAGAGGTGCTTCGTCTCCTAGGAGGCAGTAAGTCTGCCCTTCCTCCCACATCCCACGTCCATTCCTGTGCATCTCGGCTCTCTCTGCCTTTTGCTCGTCCCCCCAATCCCCTGGCCACTCCAGTTGTTCCTGGGAAGCAGCTCTTTCCACTCTGACATTCTCCCACCCACTCTCTATGTGGCCCCACCCCACAGGCTGACTGGCCTGGCTGGTGAGAGACAGAAGGAAGGGTCAGGACCCACATGCAGCCTATCAAGAGGCCACCTGAGATCACCTCTCCATCCCCTTTAGGAAAATAACTGTCCCTTAACTCATAAGCTGTATCATTGTCGGGCTGGAGAGAACTCTGCCATTTTATCCGTGAGCAGATTGAGACCCGGAGAGGAACACAGCTTAACTGAAGTCTCACAGATCGTGGCCAAGGAGGATGCCGATGCTGTGTCACCAAGGGACGTGACTCCAGGAGGCTTTGGTTTAAGGATATTAACCCTCAGGTGGATGAGCTAGGGGCAAACCCAGGCCTCAGTCAGTGTGGCCTGGCCAGAAAGATTCCGACAGGTGGCCAGAGGCAGCAGGAAGGCCTAAAGAAGAGCAGATGTCCCCTGATCATTAGTAACAAGGGTGCCTGTGTCCTCAGCATTATTTGGTTGTTCAGGACTTAAGTCCTCTTCTGCCGTAAGGGGCCAGGGCCATGGTCTTATTGTCTTGCCCTTCAATATCAATGGACCTACTAGACTTGGAGAGAAAAGCTTACCCTTGAACTGTGGAAAGAGACTGGAAACACGGGAGGGCCATAGGACATTCGACGTTGAATGGGTCACGAATTGATATTTTATAACATCTGAGATTTTTATAAGTTAAAAAGACCAGAGGCTGTACCAGACCACCATAGAGAAAAGCCAGCTTGATGTGATGGAAAGAGCCTGGAGCCAGGAGTTATGAAATCCTGTCTCTGCCTTCTGATTGGGTGGCCTTCTACGGCAGACCCTCCGTGGCCTTTGGTCACCCCATATGGAAAAGCGGTTGTACTAGAAAATACTAAAATCCTTCCGGCTCCAAGACTCAATTGTGCTGTCTCCTAATGACTCAATTACATTATCTAATTTTACGAAAAAAGTTACCTTTGTGTTTCTGGAAGATTTACCCAACATAAACTGACACTTTAAGGTTCTGCTTCCTAGGCAAAAATGTGCAGTGTGTTTCATATTCCTCTAATAAAAGGCAGTTTTTATAAATAATATGGAAACAAAGCTGTAATAGGATTTGAGAGAAGATGAAATTCAGTCATCATTTCCATAGTCTTGGGCTCTGCCATGTATCACTTCTCTGCGGTATAGTATCTTTATTTTTAAAATTAGGGGATATGGACTGGGTTATTTTTTAGCATTGTTGTAACTCTGATATTTATAATTCTAAGACTCTTAGGGGAGAGTCTTTTCCCTGAAAAGCAATAATGATAACAATAACACAATGAAAAATAACACAATGAAAATTACTGAAATTCAGATAAGGGCAGAAAAATGGATGGGGGTTCAGAGAACCCTGTGTAAATTCCAGACTGATTCACATCGCCTGTGGTGTAACTACCTCACATCTACATGTACGATTTAATTTTAAAACCATTTTCCTGGACTAAGAGAGGGACAACAACTTAATTATGAGTTATTGATTCAGTTTGCCATGGCTTTGGATTCTAGGGTTTTCGTAATAGAAGTGCTGGCTCTGAGCTACCTGGTGTCAGCATGCTGTCTGGATCTGCTCTCCAGAGGTTGTATCCCCATTGGACGCGTCTTGCATTAGATTTCTGTTCTGCGATGGATGTTAGCGTAATGCAGGAGGCTCCTTCTCTCCCTCATATGGTTGATGTAAAATGTCTTTCCTTCGTTCATCTGGTGAGGGAAAGAAAACTCAGGTTTGGAAAAGCCGAATCATGAGAAAAATAAGACTAGGCATGGTTTTGATGCAGATGATTGGGGTTGTTGTCAAAACATTCCTAATTCCAGGAACTGCCCTAATTTTAATCACTTTCCTTATATTTTGAAGAAGCTATAAATACAATAAACGTCTTTTCATTCTCTCAGCAAACGTGCATGGAAGTGGGTCCTGTGCCCAGGCATCAGGCTGAAGCCTGGATTGCAGGGACTGAAGACCATGTTCCGAGGCCTGGGGCCAGGCTCTGAGGTCCGGCTGAGGGGCCTGTTTTTAGGAGACATTATCCACACATGGCCCAGCAGGCGTGCTCTGTGGTCCTTTCTGTGGCTGAGCAAGATAAGTAAGAACTTAGCCCCTGTTCTCTTGGCATCCATGAGATGCTAACGGTGAGGACCAGGAAATTTCTCCCAAAGTTAAAAGCAAAATGAAACCACGACCATGGTTACCTCCACCAATGGAAGAGGGTGCAAGGAGTCATAGGTCAGGGCATTGGAAATCCTCATGCCCACTAGTGGTCACAGGACCTTCCTGGAAGGATATAAAACGATAGGCACCAGGGGGCCAACCCAGTGGCGTAGTGATTAAGTTCATCCGCTCCGCTTTGGTGGCCTAGGGTTCGCAGGTTGGGATCCCGGGCATGGAACTACTCACTGCTCATCAAGCCATGCTGTGGCAGGTGTCCCACATACAAACCAGAGGAAGACAGGCACAGATGTTAGCTCGGTGAATCTTCCTCAAGCAAAAAGAGGAGGATTGGCAACAGGTGTTAGCTCAGGGCCAATCTTCCTCACCAAAAATCAAAACCAATAGGCACCAAGAACTATAAAAATGCCTTTGGCTAATCAATGCCGCTCTCAGATTTTGTGCTATGGAAGTAATTATGGATGTGCACAAAGATGTGTGTATTAGGACAGTCATTTAAAATAGTGGAATAGATATATGTATATATATATA